TGTCTGTTGAAATACTTGTTATGATGAATCAACCAAAGTGATCAACAAAGTATCTTGTAATCCAATTATGACTCTTCTCCCTATTTGCTTTCAGTAGTAAACTGGACTCTTATCTTCTATTCTTGGAGTCTTCAAGACAATTCTGGAAGATTGCCAGCCCACTGTGTAGAACTGAAAAAAGCAGATAAACTCAATTTTCTGAAACTCTGTTTATATATAGTTTTGTGGAAGATGGAGATGGAGGAACGGTAACTTCCGAGCTCCTTGGGACTAGGATTGGAGATATTGATCAAAGCTTCACAACTTCTGTTCACTTAATGACTAGACAGTGTTTCTGCATGGAATATCTACATCACAAGCCACCCACCATACTGGAGACTTAGGTGGCCATTTTTAGCCTGTCAAATGGAGGCAGAATCTGAGTTCTAAGTTCCTGATTGTCTTGAGAAGGAGAGAAAGTGTAGAGTGCAGAAAAACAGAGTAAAAGAAATGATGATCAAAAGAAGGATTAAGGATAAATCAAAGCACAAGCATTTTTTTATCGTTTTGCTGAATCTTAATATATGCTCTTGAGGGCTGTGAGTCTTTAAAATTCTTTTCATGGAAACACAGTGGAAGAAGAGTTTTGGAATATTTTCAAGGCAGAGGTAGATGGATCTTGTTAAGCAAGGGCCTATAAGGGTATCAGGGTATCTGAGAATGTAGATTTGAGGTTATAATCAGATCAGCCATGATCTTATTGAGTGGTGAAGGAGGCTCAAGGGGCTGAATGGCCTACTCCCACCCCTGATTTGTAAGTTCAGATGTCAACTGTTAATTTCTGACATTTTGGGCCTGATTCTGAATTGGTCTATGTAGATGGGTTTTGAATCCATTAAAATCTCACCTATTGATTAAAACAAATTATAAAACGGCACAGGGTAGAAAGAGGCCATTCTGCCTATCATCCTGGCACCTGCTCTTTTATACAACTATTTAATCAGTCCTACTCAATCTGCTTTTACTCCTGTAGACTTTTTTTCCCTCTCTTTTTGAGTATTAATGTGATCCCCTTCCAGAAGTTATTTCTGAATCTGTTTCCAATAGGCTTTCAGGCAATGCATTCCCGATCATAACTAGAAAATTTCTCTTCGGCTGCCTCAGACATTGGGACCATACAGTCAGCCACAATTTTATCAAAGTCACCCCTGGATATAATCTGTTTATTATAAATTTGTGCTCTTTGACTCCTGACCCTTCTGACAATTGTAACAGTTTGTCCCAATTTACTTTCTCAAAACTCCTCATGATATTGGTCACCCTGATTAAATCTTCTTTTAACTTTACCTTCATGGATGACAATTTCCACTTCCCTTGTCTCTGTGTATACCTGAATCCCCAGATCCCTGATGCTATTTCTGCTACATCTCCTCTGCACCCTCTTCCTAAAGTGTGCTGTCCAGGATTGAACACATTACTCATGTAAAGGCCTATCCAGTGATCTACAAAGATTCAGCACAAATTATTTGCTTTCACCTCTATACCTCTATATAAAGGCCAAAGTAGCCTTTCTTTAACAGCCAAATCACATCCCTAAACAACTGGAAAAATAGCTGCTGGCAGCCTCCCACTTGGTGTATTCCTTTCAATTCATTGAATAAAGCAACATCATCCTTTCATTGAGATAACAAAGGTGTACAGCTGGATGAACACAGCAGGCCAGGCAGCATCAGAGGAGCAGGAAAGCTGACGTTTCAGGTTTGGACCCTTCTTCAGATGTTTGAGATGCTCGCTGTACTTTGTTATCCCCTCTGTCCAGAAGCATCTCTGTAATTATAATTGTTCCTTGAATCTGCCTGTTTATGAAAGCTTATTGTCACCTGAGTGGTTGTCTACCTGCCTCTCAGCCTTAGATAGATGGTGCTGTCTTGGCTGGTCTGTTGGAAAAAGAGGTTTCAGTACTGGATTAGCATTTGTTCTATGCTGCTGGGGAGTGTGGTTCTCTGCTTAACTTCACCCACTTCAGTGTCCGCCCAGGCCCCTGCATCTTCAGGACCATACTGTCAACCACGGTTCCATCAGTCACCCTGGGATGGCCACATTTATCTGTGATTGAAGCTCCTTCCAGATTGTCTTTCAGGGTGGAGGGCAGTGGGAAGAGAAGGGCAACTGACTGGAGTCCGTCTCTTGGGTTTTCTCACAGGATGAGATACGGGTAGATCCTGGTGCCCTGCTGGATCTGCAGAGAGATGCAAAAGAGAATGACTTTCTGAGCAATCAGATGCTGAAAACCCTAAATGCCATGAACAGATTGGACTTAGCCAAATCTACATTCACGAACATGGCTTATATTCCCTTGAGCTGAGAAGGTTGAGGGGTGGGGCATTATTTTAAAGTTAGAGCTCAGCCATTCACATGTGACATCAGGAAGCATTTCAAGCCATGGAAAAGTTATGGTGCAGAATCAGATCACTCAGCCCATTTGTATTTGTGCTGGCTGAATAAACTAGCTGATCATTCCAATTCCACTTTCCAAGTCATTTATGACCTTGCAGGTTACCACACTTCAGGTGCAGATCCAGGCTCCCTTTAAATGACTTGAGGGTTTCAGCTTCAACAACTAAATGGGGCAGTGCATCCCAGATGTCGACCATCCCCTAGATGGAAAGGTTTTTCTTCCTATCTCCTCTAATCCTTCTATCAATTGCTTTAAATCTGAGCCCCTTGGTAATTGATCTCTCTGTTAGGGGAAACAGATCTTCCCTGTCTACTTGATCTAAGCCCCTAATTATTTTGTCCTCCTCAACTAACTCACCTCTCAGCCTCCTCTGTTCAAAGGAAAAACAACACTAGACTATCCAATTTTTCCTCATTGCTACAATTTTCAAGCCTTGGCATTATTCTTGTGTTCTGTCTAAAACAAGAATATCCTTCCTATGATGTGGTGACCAGATTGTACACAGACCTCTAATTGTGTCCTAACCAGTGGCTTATATAGTTCTGGCATTTATAGGTTCCTGCTTTTGAATGTAGTACTTTGCCCGATGAAGGAAAGCATCCTGTATGTATTCTTTGCCATATTGCCTACCAGACCTGCCACCTTCAGCAGCATGTGGGCATGCACCTCAACATCTCTCACTTCATCCACCCCCTCCAATTCATTGCAATATTCTCTTGCTTTGTTTGCACTCTCCAAATGCATAGCCTCGCACTTCCTGGCTTGAATTCCCTTTGCCACTTTTCTGCCCACTCACACAAATCATTGATATCTTCCTGCAGTTGACAGCTACTTTCTTCACAACAGCTACCCAGCCAGTTTTATGTTGTCTGCAAATTTCCAAATCATGCCCACCACAACTGCTTCACAAAGGACCGTGGAAGACTAGAAATGCAAGCGATCACTTGGAAGTGCTGAGACCGAGATTGGTAGATATTTATTGGGTAAGGGTATTGAGGAAATTGAAGCAAAAACAAGTGAATGGACTTAAAATAGATGATCTAATTGGGTGTCAGAGCAAGCCCAGGGGGCAGAATGACTACTAGTCTCTGAGCCATGACACCAAAACACCTAGACAGAAACTTACAACTGACTCTCAGACAGGTAATAAAAAACAATCACCTGTGAAAATTCAGTTATACATCTATAATTCTAGAAACTTTTCATATCAAATAAGAAGACAAATGAATTTGTTCTCATTTCATAAAGTCAGAAGTCACACGATGCCAGAAAACACAAGCTTTCAAATAAACCTGGTGTCGTGTGACTTCTGGCTTTGTCCACTCCAGTCCAACACCTGCACCTCCATATCACGGCTCTTATTTCATGAAACAGGGAGTTACATAATTTTCACACATTAGTATGTTGCTCAGAATCAAACTGTGTTACTTTTGCACCTAAAATAATGGCTAATTTACAGGGAAAGAAATGCCATAAACAGTCAATTTCCTATATGTTGACCTTGGTAGTAACTCCATAGGGGCAGCATACAAAGCTTTGACAAGTATACAAAGACATTGAGTTGATCTCTGTTGTCAGAGGGATAAGCAGGCATTGATTTGTTCAATTTTACCTTTCAATATGGAACGACATTGTCCCCAATTATTCTTTTTTAAGGTATATAAAGTAAAAAGAAAAGAAAGCACTTGCATTTCCATCGCATCTTATCAAATCCTCCAAACGTCGCAAGCTACTTCATGGCTCATGAATTACTTCTGTAGTCACTCTTAATATGTAGACAATCCTTCACCCACATCGTGCACAGCAAGCTCTGAATAAAAAGATTATTTTCTTTTCTGGCATCCATTGACTTTTTCAGATTCAGCAGATTTGGTCCTAAGGATTTCACTATCAGCTTCTCCAGAAGCAGGGAGTCAATTCCAGCACACCTACCATCTATACTCCTCAGAATGGTGGGCTCAAGACTGGCCAAGGATCAGATTACAGTCCCTTTGCTGTTCAAGTTTATGTAATGTGGAGGTGCCTGTGTTGGACGGGGGTGGACAAGGTCAGAATTCACATGACACCAGGTTATAGTCCAATAAGTTTATTTGAAATCACAAGCTTTCGGAGCATTGCTGCTTTGGCAGGTGGAGTGAAGGCTGGTGCTTCTCTTTACTCCACCTGATGAAGGAGCAGCGCTCTGAAAGCTTGTGTTTTCAAATAAATCTGTTGGACTATAACCTGATGTCATGTGACTTCTGACCTTGTTCAAGTTTACATTTAGCTCACGTCACAAAGCCTGAAAAAATGTTAATGGCGAGTGTTTGTTTAAATAAAAACTTGCATTTATAAAGTACCTTTCATGATCTTAGTATATTCCAAAGTGCTTTCTAGCCAATGAAATACCTTTGAAGATATAATCATATGGGAAGCTTGGTGTTTTGGCGTTATAACCTGAAGTTTCCTTTGCTTGCTCTTTTGATAGTCTGACTGTAAGAACCATCGGGTGAGCATGCCAAGAGTGTTAGAGATTTGGGTGAGCATGATATTTCTAACCAGTACTTTTCCTTTCTACTTATAGGTGATTGGAGTCATTAGCAGGGAATACATCCCCCAAGGGACACGTTTTGGGCCATTGGTCGGGGATATTTACACCAAAGACAATGTCCCAAAGAACATAAACCGAAAATATTTCTGGAGGGTAAGTTAGTCAAGGTCACTGACTGAAACTGACCAGATACTTGAAGGCACAGCTTACCTTTGTTTCCTCAAGCAGGAATGTGATAATGGTTGGATACTCAGCTTGATTTAGATGTTTAAATATGAGCCAGCATCCAGGCGGGGCTCCCTGCCCCTTCATTACAGTTCTGTGAAATCTGTTACATTCGCTTGAGGGAGAGCAGACAGGCCCTCAGTTTAATATCTCATTCAAAATACCACACATCTGACAGTGCAGCACACCCTCTGTACAGGCACTGGGCTGTTAGCTTGGATTCAGTGCTCAAAGCCCTGGAGTTGGACTTGAAGCCCATGATCTTCTGATCCAGAAGTTATGGACTATGATATGACAATGCTATTACAGATGAGTCTATGAAACTCTCGGCATTGTCTTTAGGCAAATGAGGTACTGGCAGAACATGTGCTATATTGTATAAAAACCAAAAGAACTGCGGATGCTGCAAATCAGGAACAAAAACAGAAGTCGCTGGAAAAGCTCAGCAGGTCTGGCAGCACCTGTGAAGAGAAAATCAGAGTTAACGTTTCGGGTCCGGTGACCCTTCCTCATCTATCCAATGTGATGTATTGCCCCTGTATGAGGTACTGTTCAGGGACATGGTGATCAGTTTTGAACTCTTAAACAAAACTATTAGCTTTGAAAGAGTCAAGAAGGAAGCATTGATCCCCGGGATCTGTCATTTTTAGTTCTGACGAATTTTTCAGGAAATTGAGATTACTGTCTTTGGCAAGGAGGTGAGATAAGCTTTTTGAGGTTTTTGTGGTTCTGGAGGGTTTTGGCAAGGCTGATCTGGGCAGATTGTACAGCATGGCAAAAGTTCAAATCTTGGGGTCACCGATTTAAAAGTGAGGAAGTTAGAAGTAAGAAAGAAAGTTGGAGGAAATTTTTCATTCAAAGTGAGTTATGGAATTAATTATCAGGGAGGAACATTCAGTGCAAATGTGAGTGAACAGACAGTTGAATCTGCTTCTAGTGAGAGAATAGATCTGGTGGGATTTGGTACGAAGAGTGGAATGGGTCAGATATTGTCATCTCGGAAATGTTGAATTCAATAGTATGCCAATGGCAAAGCTGACATCGTAGGCTGGGCTGGCTCTTTCCAGCTGAACCCTGAATACAACTGTTCAGCACCAAGCTACAATGCTCCTTATAAACAGTCACTCAGTCTGGCAGGTATCAGCCTTACACAATTGTAGAGATTACGTCTTTACCCTTTTCACTGGAAGGTGCATCACGCTATCTGAGACTTCTCCCCACGCACTGCTGCTCGGATCAAGAGACAAGGAACCTGGCAACTTTCATCCACTCCTGCTCCATGATAATTGTCCTTGGTTGGTCGTGGCTTAATCTGTCTTCAATAGACATCAACTCAGATGAGCAGTGGTATGTCAATCTACAGTCCTTCAATAACTCACTGATATTAGTAATGACACATGGATATAAAGGGTCCAGAAAATTGGTTTGCCAGTATTGACAGGAGAATATGAGAGACAATTAAATCTTTGGCCTCTGGCTACATTTGACACAAGTTCCCTGCAAAATTGGGTTTCAATTCTAGGCCTCTAGAGGATCCTAGAAAATCTTTCTGGTGTTGGCCTCGAGCAGTCCCTTTCAAAGCTTTAAGGGGAAGATAGGGTAGGACAAGGGGACAAGAGTTGCGATGAGGAAGCAGGAGGTTGGGATTAATCCGATGGGGTTTGACAGTGATTAATGATATTCTTGGAGGTTTCATCACCTCATTTGCTCCTACTGTCTAGCTGTTAACCTCGTCAGTCAACATTGGTAATGCACTGCCTTCCTATGCCAACAAAGAGACTCATTCCTGATTGGGTGATGCTTGTTTGTCAGTCAAACATCATTTTTTCCCCTTTCAATCTTTTAAACCTGAAAAAGAGAAATGTTCAAAGAAGATGTCCCTATAACTTTTCTCTAGGGTTGCATGCAGGAATGTCCTAGAGATGGATCTTAAATTCCTAAAAACCTGGAGGGTTGGAATTCCTCCTTATTGAGCCTCTTGACCTTTCCACTCTTCCAAGAGATCCTGTGGATAATGAGCGTGAGGTAACAAGAGGAACACGATGGACTGAGAGTTCAGAGCAGTTACAGATTGCAGGCTTACCATGACCATCAGCACCACCTCCCCCGCCTCCCCACCCCCCCCATGTAGATGTTTCCCATGGCACTGGAATTAGTGCAGAATTGTGTGTTGGATTGCACGGTAGCACCCTAATGAGATCAACAAACTGAAAGCAGACTGGTGGGGGATGGGGGGAGGGACTTTTTCAAGTTTCTTAAATTAAGCTTGAAAGATTGAGAACAGCACAACTCACAACCACTACACCTCCAGCATCCTGTAGGATAGGAAGATGCACAGACATACAAGACACACTCACTGGCTGCCTTTCATGTCTGACTCAGTTTTATTTTGATTTTCAGTGTCAGTTCCTCTTTAGCAAGACATGTCCTTCTTGCAGCCAATTAGGAATGGGCAACAATTACTGACCTTGCCAGGAATCTCATTTTCCATGAAGACTGGAAAAGCTGAAATTATCCTCTTTAGAGTAGGAAGTGTTAATGTATTCAAAATGATAAAGGTTTAGAACGGTCCCGACCCAAAATGTCAACTTTTCTGTTCCTCTGATGCTGCCTGGCCTGCTGTGTTCCTCCAGCTCCACACCTTGTTATCTCTGGTTCCTTTGGCAAGTGGGTTGGCAAACACAGGTCATAGCTTTAAAACAATCAGCAATAAAGACGGGCATGAGAGGTGCCTTCACGCATGTTATTTTTAACACACTAAAGTTGAATTAATACCACAAGAACTTTCAAAATTCAACTGGGCCTATGCTGAAGAGGATTGATATTGTTGATAGAGTTAATGGGGGGGGGAGAAAGCGGCGGTAGGGAACGAAGCTGGGCTGTGGCAGTTCATTAGTAAACTCTTTTAAAGGGCTAGCACTGCCAGAATGGAGAATGGCCTCCTCTCTGCTGCAAAATCCTAATTTTGAAGTGACTACGATCCAGCTCTTTCAGACCTCGGTCTCATTGCCCTCTGGTGGATATACTCGGGATTACTTCTAAAAGTACCTTTCTTTACCTGTCAACCTAACTTCTCTCCTGTATTTTCATTGTTAGAAACATGTGGCACATCTTTGACCGCCCTCACCCCACCCCAACCTACCCACCCTGTCACCACATCCTTCTGTCCTGTTGCACCCATTTGTTGCTCTGCTTTCTCAACGAGATTCCTCGAAATGCATTCTATTATTTTTTTTTTCTGGACAACATTGCCCGTTGTGTTTTCAAAGTTTTATTGCTACTTTTCAATAATTCCCCTGAACTGCCTGTGGACATTTCTTATTCCCTCATTACTTATTGCTCTAGTTTTACCTTCTTCCATCGCACCAGAATGCAGGATCGGATTGGAAAGGGGACCCAATAAAAGTGCCACCCCCCGCCACAAACACACACTAAATTTTTAACTCCTGCTAATCTGAGCCTGACTCCTCCCAGCCTCTAAACGCTGCGCCAGAAATGACTGGCCCTGGTTAATGTAAACTGCTTAACAGCGCTCGCATCCAATTCCTCTGTTGTCTCGGAAGTGTTGTTGCATGTATGCTATCCTGCAAATAGCATCACTGCGGAAATCCGATACGTGCCCGTTCAGGGGTTTGTACAATAACGTGTCTGACCGTTTCAGTGGTGATCCGAGCTCTCAGGATTTAGGCGCTGAGAAACTTCACGTTTTGTTTCGTGTTGCAGTTTTGCTTCCTCTTCCTCATTTAATCCCCAATTCTCTCCTTTCACTTTCTCTCCTTCACTCTCTCCTGCGCCCTTCTGATTTAAAAAAAATGGTCAGCAGACCATGTAAACGTCTCTGATCACCCCGCCCAAGTGGCCAATCTTCACATGGGTGTGTCACGATGGTGAGTGCTGGCAAGCTATTTGACCGTAGGAGGAATCACAGTCCCGATCCTATTCTCAATATTATAAATCAGGTTTAAGGCGTCGTGTGTGTATGTGTGTGTGAGTGAGAAAGAAATAAAACGTCAGCGGCTAACAACATCCTGTAATATTCTACACGAACTGAGCCGAAACAGCATAACCCCAGTTTAGGGAACACTCTCACATGTTTAGCTGCAGTGACTCCCGACCGTTTGCAGTTTTCGGAATAAACTCTGCGCAGTACAGTCCATTTACAAAAAGTTCTGGTGACGTCTGTACCAGGAATAATCTCGAAATTGCTACCTTGTCATTGAGGGAAGCAAGTTATGGTTTTGCTTTAACAATATGAAACTTGAACGCAATAATAGTCACAATCAGTTTGGATTGGCTTTGTTGTGAGTGGACGGTATAGTTGGAATGGGTTCTGGTCTCTCAATGCTGACTCACTGGGTAGCACGGGACCAACAGAATCCAATATCACACAAAGTGTGGCGCCCTCGGCTTCTGTGCTTTCCATTTCTCTTGTAGTTCTTTGCAATTGTTGATGTCCCTCATTTTCCAAACAATATTGTTAGGGGTAATTCCTGCATCTTCCCCTCCTTTGAGAATGTGTGTCACACAATCAGGTCCACAGTGTTGCAGATCGAAGGGTACTGCTTTCTTTATTGAAACAAATCCCTGAAGACAGGTGACAGGCAAAGTTTAAGGTGATCTGCAGTTAATGATCATTATTACTGGGAGCTGCAATTATTTAAATCAATTTGTTTGGACATCCTCTGGGGCATTGAGTAGGATTTGAAACTGAACCAACACTTCCACAGTGCCACAAAATCCACTTCAGGTAGATCTGCACAGGACACACGTCCTCGGTAATGTGTAGCACTCTTGGTGTCTTCTTAGTGCTGAACAGGTTTGTAATGAGGCCTCGGTGGTGGAATTTGCAATAGCTCTGGCTGTTGGATAGTTCATTGCATGTCATCTGAGAGATGTGGTTTGCCAGAGGAACTTATTGGTGACTCTGAGTGTTTCACATTCCTTGATCCAAAGGATGTCTCCGTCAGGAAGCTTGCTCCTTACAGGATGCCTGAGATTGAACAGCTCAACCTGCAGTGATAAGTAAAGTGCAAATTTAACAATCAGATCTGTTTTAGATCCAGCCCTGTGCTCACTGTTTGAGTTTCTGGGAAGCTTTGCAGGTTTCTTTCTGACCCGTCGAACAGTGACCACTGTATCAGCTGGATCTGACATCTTTTAATTTTTCACATGTTTTATAGATAGTGGATGTGCTTCAGGTAACGTGGAGTCATCCAGGAGGCCATGGCTGGAGACTGGTTCATTGTCTGAGGCGTGTTAGGACGATCCTCATCCCAGTCACTGTTCCAAAGGATCTCATGGGCCATAGGCTGTAGGTGGAAGAAGGAGGGCTGAGATTAGAATTCCAATATAACTCCTCGCCTTGCTTGTCATTCAATCAGCCAATAGGCTCTATCCCACATAGAAAGTCAGGATGGGACAGCCACCCACTCAAAGAAGCTACCAGTACTCAGTGTGAAGGCTCACGGCATGTGTCGAATTGGCCCCAACCTCCACCAGGAGGACACTGCACTCTTCCCATTCCAGAGACAGTTTCATCACTCCATTGGTGTGCATATATTCAGATGCATCAGCTCTAGATTTCCCTCTCTAAACATCTTTGTTCCTCCACACCTCTTTAAGATATGCACTAAAGCTTACATTGTTTGACCAAGCAATTTGTTGCTTGTCCAGTTATCGCCTTACCTCAGTGTCAAAAATTGGTTGATAATTACGCCCATAGTGCCTTTGGATGTTTTACCATGGCAAAGGTGCTGTATTATTGCTGGTTGTTCTAATGAAATTCTGTATCTGTAGAACTGTGTTCCATTGCTTTAAATATATGAAGAGGGCACTTTGGCCAAGTATAATAGATAGATTTCTATCTTGTTGTGAGGTGATCACTTTCAGTACTATATAAGCATTCTTAATAAACAAAAATAATAGAGCCTGTCAAGTTGAAATTAATTTGAAAACAAACCAGCTTCTGCCTGGGACAAAGAGGTATATCAGCGATACTGTACCTGGGTTACCGTCAGTGCAAGCAGGACAGTGTGGGACAGTTACTCTATCCCAGTGTGGGTCAGGGTCAGTGTCAGTGGAACCATACCTCAGTGAGTTTCAGTGTCTGGGGCAATGGGACCTCAGTGAGGGTCAGTGTCTGGGGCAATGGGACCTCAGTGAGGGTCAGTGTCTGGGACAATGGGACCTCAG